AAATTTTATTTGGGTAAATGTACACGCATGTAAACTAAATTGTTTGAATGGGGGGAATGGTAAACTCTCGGATGACAGGTCAATTGAAGTCAATCAGGTTTGATCCAAAGGAAAGGGAGGTACTTGCAACTCTTTGCATCAAGATACCTTCACTAGTACAAAGGTACCCCTTTAAGGGCATCCAATTTAACAGGAACGTAGTTAGGATCATTAGGACAACCAACACTACATGTCCCTCATAGCAAACTAAGCTAACAACCAACACTACGGGTTATCTAAGAAGTTGTAGCTGTTGTATACCAGTCTCCTAACACACTACTATGCTAGCCGTATTCATAACCCATCTTACCTGCCAGTTATGACTGGTATCCTGGGCCCCGACCTGAGAACTGCTCATCAAGCCCCCCCACCCACTCTCTACCTCTTATTTTTCTGGGTTTCTAACCCAGTAGGGTTAATATTCCTAGTCTCATTAATACCAATCTAAATCACCCCCCTAAAACTACACTCATCACATTTATATGTTAGTGAAGACTTTCTGTCGACTAACACCACAGCAGATCACGAGGTTTCATTATTTTCATCAATAACATCTGCTGCCAGAAGTGTTACACTTCACAACTTACAAACTATTAGACCAACTGCAATTCTGACGCTAATACTTTTATATTCATAGGAACCTGAACGTCGCTTAAATTTCCCAAAATGATGAAACTGTGTAAAATTCAATGAATCAATATTTAACACTGTACAGTTTTGACCAAAGGCATAAAAAACGTAGAACACCCACCACAACCACTACCCAAACCCGGAACCCACCAACATCCCGACGGAAACCATGTACAATAACAGACTGCAGACAGCTACTGAAGGTCGTTGGTGGGTTCCCAGGCCAACAGTTCTACGTAATCTATGCCTTCAGGGGAGATTACTCTCCCCTGCTATATGCATTCATAATGCATATAGCAGATTCTCCAGGTATATACTTTACCTATCATACTTAACACTGCCTAAATCTATAAGTTATTTTGATAGAAACTAAATAATTGTAGACCTACAAAGAGTTATATATATATACACCACAACTATGCAGCATACTCCAGGTATAGGCCTTGGTAATTTGTAGAACAATGGCGGCACAAAGGGAGGTGAAAATAAGATCAAGGGGGTCTGGGTAAGATCAAGGGGGGTCTAGGTAAGATCAAGGGGGGTCTAGGTAAGATCAAGGGGGGTCTAGGTAAGATCAAGGGGGTCTAGGTAAAGATCAAGGGTCTAGGTAAGATCAAAGGGGGGTCTAGGTAAGATCTAATAAAATTTCCCATAACTGTATATGTAGACGTATTACCCTTAAGGGTTATACACAGCTTGGGGAATGCTATACACAGCTTGGGGAATGTTATACACAGCTTGGGGAATGATTGCCCAACATTCCCCAAGCTGTGCACAACGCCTATGGTAATATATTTATATAGTTATGGGAAATTTTATTTGGGTAAATGTACACGCATGTAAACTAAATTGTTTGAATGGGGGGAACGGTAAACTCTCGGGGGACAGGTCAATTGAAGTCAATCAGGTTTGATCCAAGGAAGAGGGAGGGTACTTGCAACTCTTTGCATCAAGATACCTTCACTAGTACAAAGGTACTCCTTGAAGGGCATCCAAATTTAACAGGAAGGTAGTTAGGATCATTAGGACAACCAACACTACATGTCCCTCATAGCAAACTAAGCTAACAACCAACACTACGGGTTATCTAAGAAGTTGTAGCTGTTGTATACCAGTCTCCTAACACACTACTATGCTAGCCTGTATTCATAACCTACCTTACCTGCCAGTTATGACTGGTATCCTGGGCACGACCTGAGAACTGCGTCATCAAGCCCCCCCCCCACCCACTCTCTACCTCTTATTTTTCTGGGTTTCTAACCCAGTAGGGGTTAATAATCCTAGTCTCATTAATACCAATCTAAATCACCCCCCTAACTACACTCATCAGCATGTGTTAGTGAAGCCTTTCTGTCGACTAACACCACAGCAGATCACGAGGTTTTCATTATTTTCATCAATAACATCTGCTGCCAGAAGTGTTACACTTCACAACTTACAAACTATTAGACCAACTGCAATTCTGATCGCTAATACTTTTATATTCATAGGAACCTGAACGTCGCTTAAATTTCCCAAAATGATGAAACTGTGTAAAGTCAATTAATCAATATTTAACTTTGTACAGTTTGACCAAAGGCATAAAAAACGTAGAACACCCACCACAACCACTACCCAAACCCGGAACCCACCAACATCCCGACGGAAACCATGTACAATAACAGACTGCAGACAGCTACTGAAGGTCGTTGGTGGGTTCCCAGGCCAACAGTTCTACGTAATCTATGCCTTCAGGGGAGATTACTCTCCCCTGCTATATGCATTCATAATGCATATAGCAGATTCTCCAGGTATATACTTTACCTATCATACTTAACACTGCCTAAATCTATAAGTTATTTTGATAGAAACTAAATAATTGTAGACCTACAAAGAGTTACACCACAACTATGCAGCATACTCCAGGTATAGGCCTTGCTAATTTGTAGAACAATGGCGGCACAAAGGGAGGTGAAAATAAGATCGGGGGGGGGTCTAGGTAAGATCAACGGGGGTCTAGGTAAGATCAAGGGGGGTCTAGGTAAGATCAAGGTCTAGGTAAGATCAAGCAGCGTCTAGGTAAGATCAAGGGGGGTCTAGGTAAGATCAAGGGGGGTCTAGGTAAGATCAAGGGGGTCTAGGTAAGATCAAGAGGCGTCTAGGTAAGATCAAGGGGCGTCTAGGTAAGATCAAGGGGCGTCTAGGTAAGATCAAGGGGGTTAGGTAAGACAAGGGGCTCAGGTAAGATCAAGGGGCGTCTAGGTAAGATCAAGGGGCGTCTAGGTAAGATCAAGGGGCGTCTAGGTAAGATCAAGGGGCGTCTAGGTAAGATCAAGGGGCGTCTAGGTAAGATCAAGGGGGCCTACAAAGTCTCTAAATATATACTGTATACCGCAATTTCAAAACGAATGCCCCCCCCCACCCACCCATGACGCTGTAATACAGACTCTGGAGATGTAAGCGCTAAACGCACAAGGCTATATATACTACTAAAAATATTTTTGGGGGCTTCAGAGCATAAAATTACTTGTCCAGGTCCTGTACTGAAAATAGGAAGACGTGCTTAATCCCACATTTCTGAGGAATTATTGACCTTTCCGGCTACAGTATATTCTGCCTAAGGTAAATTTATACCGTCATATGAAGCTAAAACTCTAGCTGTGTAGGTTTAGAAACAGGATAGACAAATAGACTGACGCAATGGTCGGAGAAGTGGCAGATGCAGTTTAATATTGACAAATGCAAAGTTCTAAATGTTGAACAGTTAAATAACCATGCCACATATAAACTAAATAATGTAGATCTTAATACTACTGATTGAGAAAAAAATTTAGGAGTTCTGGTTAGCAGTAATTTAAAACCAAGACAACAGTACATTAGTGTTGGCAATAAAGTTAACAGAATTCTTGGCTTTATATCTAGAAGTATATATAATAGAAGTCCTCAGGGTGTTCTTCAACTCTATATATCCTTGGTTAGGCCTATAACAGGAGTCGTGAGGTTAGGCCTCATTTAGACTATGCTGCTCAGTTCTGGTCACAGTATTACAGAATGGATATAAATGTTCTGGACAACGTACAGAGGAGGATGACAAAGTTGATCCCATGTATCAGAAATCTTCCCTATGAGGATAGACTGAGGCCCTGTCTATCCTATGAGGATAGACTGAGGCCCTGAATCTTCACTCTCTAGAAAGACGTAGAATTAGAAGGGATATGATCGAGGTGTATAAATGGAAAACAGGAATAAATAAGAGATGTAAATAACGTGCTGAAAATATCTAGCCTAGACAGGACTCGCAGCAATGGTTTCAAGTTGGAAAAATTCAGATTCAGGAAGGATATAGGAAAGTACTGGTTTGGTAATAGAGTTGTGGATGAGTGGAACAAACTCCCGAGTACAGTTATAGAAGCTAAAACGTTGTGTACTTTTAAAATTATATTAGATAATACACGAGTGGGTGAGAATTTGATTCTGACTAGGTTGTGCTAGTAGGTTTGATGCTGTGGTCCTTCCTTATCTGAAAGTGACCTGACCTGACTAGGTTGGGTTATTGGCTTAAGCCGGTGGGAGACTTGCACCTGCCTCGCACGGGCCAGTAGGCCTGTTGCAGTATTCTTTATGTTCCATGACATTTTTATCAGGGTATTTATACTCCCCCAGGATGCGACCCCTACCACTAATAAGCCTGCTCAGGACCAGTAGGCCTGCTGCAGTTCTTTATGTGAACACTGCCAATGGATACAAGGGAACATGCCCACTCGTGCCTGGGATCGAATCCCTGTTCTTCAGTTGACGTCACTACCAACTGACCCATGATATAAGAACACAAGAAAGGAGGATCACTGCAGTAGGCCTGTTGGCCCATACTAGGCAGGTCCTTAACAATCCATCCCACTAACAAAACATTTCCCCAACCCATTTTACAGGCTGGGTATCAGTTACATAATAACCATATTACACTAACTAAAGCTTCCAAACATCTAATCAGTCTTCAGTTCTAAGCTTTACAACCCATTTCTCTAATTTTATCACCACCTCATTAATTCTTAGCCAGTTAATACCTCCCACAAAGTTACTTTTGCTATCAATTACTTACAATCTTGCCTATACTCTCCCCACCACCTTCCTACTTAACACAATCACTTACAATCTTGCCTATACTCTCCCCACCACCTTCCTACTTAACACTATCACTTACAATCTTGCCTATACTCTCCCACCACCTTCCTACTTAACACTATCACTTACAATCTTGCCTATACTCTCCCCACCACCTTCCTACTTAACACAATTATTATCTGCTTCAGTAACCAAACTTTAGTGCACTTTATAACCTGGAAATAACTTACCAGTGGGCCCTGCCCACCTTTAACGCCGCCTCCAGCTGCTGCATCTCCACACAACTCGGTTATCACACCTGTAACAAAACATTCACATTATAACCATCAACATTTAAATAAACATTACTAATATAAACATTAATATAAACATTACTAATATAAACATTAACAATATTTAACATGTTAAAGTTAACTTTTTCTCTAATATATATTTCTCTCATATAAACTTAATAACTAACAATTTATTAACAAGTCTGTATCTGGATCACACGGCGCAGGTTCCTTGGATCAAGAGACTTCCTCTATTTTTCAATAATGGAAAAATACCATTGTGTGTTATGTAACACCTAATGTGAGAGTTATTGTTTGATCCGAGGAAGGGGAGTAGCTCCAGTTCCTCGGATCAAAACCCCTCCATTAAGGTCCCCCCCTCCCCAAGACCCCATAGAAAATTAACTTAAAATATTAATAATTTGGTGGCCAAACTGGTGGTGGGGACCAGGAGCTACACCTCAACTCTGCTGTTGTACTGACAAATACATCACCAGACAATACTTACGTTATTTAAGTGTATTAAGAGGGTGAGGAAGCGGTAAAACCGGCGGGGCAGCAGGAGAAGGAGCAGCAGCACGTCCGTCGTATACGACCAGTGACGGACAACTGACCTTGAGGTTGGTCACTGACCTGACCTTCACTATAACACCATCACTGATGACCTAACTAACTCTGGCTACCACCACTAGATGGCACTACTACACCACCACTGTCAGTACTACTCGTGGTGGAGCGCTCAACCCGTGGGGGTCATGCACCACCTGGGAGGATAAGTTCACTCCCAGGTGGCATTCATCACATTCCTTGGATCAAGAGACCCTGACCACCAGACTCACAGGTAACACCTCCAATATTTCAACCCTCGCAGGGAGTCGAACCCAGACCCTGGGTGTGTGCAGCCAGACCTTCACCTCCCACGATATGTAACACCAGTTACAATATATAACACCTGGAGTTTACCTGGAGAGAGTTCCGGGGGTCAACGCCCCCGCGGCCCGGTCTGTGACCAGGCCTCCTGGTGGATCAGAGCCTGATCAACCAGGCTGTTGCTGCTGGCTGCACGCAAACCAACGTACGAGCCACAGCCCGGCTGATCAGGAACTGACTTTAGGTGCTTGTCCAGTGCCAGCTTGAAGACTGCCAGGGGTCTGTTGGTAATCCCCCTTATGTGTGCTGGGAGGCAGTTGAACAGTCTCGGGCCCCTGACACTTATTGTATGGTCTCTTAACGTGCTAGTGACACCCCTGCTTTTCATTGGGGGGATGGTGCATCGTCTGCCAAGTCTTTTGCTTTCGTAGTGAGTGATTTTCGTGTGCAAGTTCGGTACTAGTCCCTCTAGGATTTTCCAGGTGTATATAATCATGTATCTCTCCCTCCTGCGTTCCAGGGAATACAGGTTTAGGAACCTCAAGCGCTCCCAATAATTGAGGTGTTTTATCTCCGTTATGCGCGCCATGAAGGTTCTCTGTACATTTTCTAGGTCAGCAATTTCACCTGCCTTGAAAGGTGCTGTTAGTGTGCAGCAATATTCCAGCCTAGATAGAACAAGTGACCTGAAGAGTGTCATCATGGGCTTGGCCTCCCTAGTTTTGAAGGTTCTCATTATCCATCCTGTCATTTTTCTAGCAGATGCGATTGATACAATGTTATGGTCCTTGAAGGTGAGATCCTCCGACATAATCACTCCCAGGTCTTTGACGTTGGTGTTTCGCTCTATTTTGTGGCCAGAATTTGTTTTGTACTCTGATGAAGATTTAATTTCCTCGTGTTTACCATATCTGAGTAATTGAAATTTCTCATCGTTGAATTTTCATATTGTTTTCTGCAGCCCACTGAAAGATTTGGTTGATGTCCGCCTGGAGCCTTGCAGTTCTGCAATGTCCGCCTGGAGCCTTGCAGTGTCTGCAATGTCCACCTGGAGCCTTGCAGTGTCTGCCTGGAACCTTGCAGTGTCTGCAATGTCCGCCTGGAGCCTTGCAGTGTCTGCAATGTCCGCCTGGAGCCTTGCAGTGTCTGCCTGGAACCTTGCAGTGTCTGCAATGGCCGCCTGGAGCCTTGCAGTGTCTGCCTGGAACCTTGCAGTGTCTGCAATGTCCGCCCTGGAGCCTTGCAGTGTCTGCAATGTCCGCCTGGAGCCTTGCAGTGTCTGTCTGGAACCTTGCAGTGTCCGCCTGGAGCCTTGCAGTGTCTGCAATGTCCGCCTGGAGCCTTGCAGTGTCCGCCTGGAACCTTGCAGTGTCTGCAATGTCCGCCTGGAGCCTTGCCGTGTCTGCAATGTCCGCCTGGAGCCTTGCAGTGTCTGTCTGGAACCTTGCAGTGTCTGCAATGTCCGCCTGGAGCCTTGCAGTGTCTGCAATGTCCGCCTGGAGCCTTGCAGTGTCTGTCTGGAACCTTGCAGTGTCTGCAATGTCCGTCTGGAGCCTTGCAGTGTCTGCAATGTCCGCCTGGAGCCTTGCAGTGTCTGTCTGGAACCTTGCAGTGTCTGCAATGTCCGCCTGGAGCCTTGCAGTGTCTGCAATGTCCGCCTGGAGCCTTGCAGTGTCCGCCTGGAACCTTGCAGTGTCTGCAATGTCTGCCTGGAGCCTTGCAGTGTCTGCAATGGAGGACACTGTCATGCAGATTCGGGTGTCATCTGCAAAGGAAGACACGGTGCTGTGGCTGACATCCTTGTCTATGTCGGATATGAGGATGAGGAACAAGATGGGAGCGAGTACTGTGCCTTGTGGAACAGAGCTTTTCACCGTAGCTGCCTCGGACTTTACTCTGTTGACGACTACTCTCTGTGTTCTGTTAGTGAGGAAATTATAGATCCATCGACCGACTTTTCCTGTTATTCCTTTAGAAACGCATTTTGTGCGCTATTACGCCATGGTCACACTTGTCGAAGGCTTTTGCAAAGTCTGTATATATTACATCTGCATTCTTTTTGTTTCTCGTGCATTTAGGACCTTGTCGTAGTGATCCAATAGTTGAGACAGACCAGGAGCGACCTGTCTAAACCCATGTTGCCCTGGGTTGTGTAACTGATGGGTTTTCTAGATGGGTGGTGATCTTGCTTCTTAGGACCCTTTCAAGATTTTTTATGATAGGGGATGTTAGTCTATTGGTCTGTAGTTCTTTGCTGTTGCTTTACTGCCCCCTTTGTGGAGTGGGGCTATGTCTGTTGTTTTTAGTAACTGTGGGACGACCCCCGTGTCCATGCTCCCTCTCCATAGGATGGAAAAGGCTCGTGATAGGGGCTTCTTGCAGTTCTTGATGAACACAGAGTTCCATGAGTCTGGCCCTGGGGCAGAGTGCATGGGCATGTCATTTATCGCCTGTTCGAAGTCATTTGGCGTCAGGATAACATCGGATAGGCTTGTGTTAATCAAATTTTGTGGCTCTCTCATAAAAAATTCATTTTGATCTTCGACTCTCAGTCTGGTTAGCGGCTCCTCCAACACTGACAACCTTTATCACCCAACAATTATGGTAGTGTTGTAGCGGCTCCTCCAACACTGACAACCTTTATCACCCAACAATTACGGTAGTGTTGTAGCGGCTCCTCCAACACTGACAACCTTTATCACCCAACAATTACGGTAGTGTTGTAGCGGCTCCTCCAACACTGACAACCTTCACCACCCAACAATTACGGTAGTGTTGTAGCGGCTCCTCCAACAATGACAACCTTATCACCCCCAACAATTACGGTAGTGTTGTAGCGCTCCTCCAACCCCTGACAACTTTTCCCCCCAACAAATTACGGTAGTGTTGTAGCGGCTCCTCCAACACTGACAACCTTCACCACCCAACAATTACGGTAGTGTTGTAGCGGCTCCTCCAACACTGACAACCTTCACCACCCAACAATTACGGTAGTGTTGTAGCGGCTCCTCCAACACTGACAACCTTCACCACCCAACAATTACGGTAGTGTTGTAGCGGCTCCTCCAACACTGAAACCTTCACCACCCAAAAAAATTAAGTAGTGTTGTAGCGGCTCCTCCAACACTGACAACCTTCACCACCCAACAATTACGGTAGTGTTGTAGCGGCTCCTCCAACACTGACAACCTTCACCACCCAACAATTACGGTAGTGTTGTAACGGCTCCTCCAACACTGACAACCCTCACCACCCAACAATTACGGTAGTGTTGTAGCGGCTCCTCCAACACTGACAACCTTCACCACCCAACAATTACAGTAGTGTTGTAGCGGCTCCTCCAACACTGACAACCTTCACCACCCAACAATTACGGTAGTGTTGTAGCGGCTCCTCCAACACTGACAACCTTCACCACCCAACAATTACGGTAGTGTTGTAGCGGCTCCTCCAACACTGACAACCTTCACCACCCAACAATTACAGTAGTGTTGTAGCGGCTCCTCCAACACTGACAACCTTCACCACCCCAAAAAATTACGGTAGTGTTGTAGCGGCTCCTCCAACACTGACACCTTCAAACCCCCCAACAATTACCCGTATGTTGTAGGGGGCTTCCCCCAACACTGACAACCTTTACCCCCCAACAATTACGGTAGGTTTTTAGCGGCTCCTCCAACACTGACAACCTTCAAACCCCCCAACAATTACGAGTGTTGTAGCGGCTCCTCCAACACTGACAACCTTCACCACCCAACAATTACGGTAGTGTTGTAGCGGCTCCTCCAACACTGACAACCTTCACCACCCAACAATTACGGTAGTGTTGTAGCGGCTCCTCCAACACTGACAACCTTCACCACCCAACAACAACATCATGGCAGCAGTTAGTTTAATTTTTCGTCAATTTGTTGTAACAATTACTTTTATTCCATTGTAGTTTTTATTTCACAAATGTGTAATAATAATGTAATAGATAAATATAATTATAAATATAATTATCGCGTTAATCACTACCATAATAATTATTCTAATTATTTCTAATTAATGTTATTCTTCCTAATACCTTTGAAATAATTGTTTAATCCAAGTGGAGGAGAGCTCTGGTTCCTTGGATCAAGAGCCCTTCATCAGCATTATATACAACCCTCCTGGGAAATAAGAATCGAACCTGTGATCCCCTTCCTTGGATCAAACCTGAATTGGTGCCATTCTTCCAAGCACTTTATGACCCTAACAGGTTTAGCGCTCTCCCGTCAATATAATAAAAATAATAATGTTTTTACAATACTGGCCTAGCATGGGCCTGTAGGCCTATGGTAGTGCTAAAACTTTAAGCCCAGGCCTAGCATGGGCCAGTAGGCCTATTGTAGTGCCCCTCCATTCTTATGGTATTAAGTTCCTTTCATTTACCGTCCATAATTTCCTTCCTTTTACGTAATTTTATTCTCTGTCTCTGTCTCTCTCTTTTCTGTATAATCCTCTATCTAATCTATCTATATCTCTATCTTTGTGTGTGTGTTTGTTTTCTCTGTATTGAAATGCATTATGTACCACCAGCAAGGGGTCGGAGGAGAGCGCCGAGAAGTCGTCAGAGATGGAGAACAGAAAGACAAGAAGCGGAAGGAATCGATTCTGGATTTAAGCAAGTACTTAGACAAGGCTATAAGAGTCAAGTTTTCCGGCGGCCGTGAAGCTTCGGGAATCTTGAAAGGCTTCGATCAGCTGCTGAATCTTGTGCTTGATAACACTATTGAATATCTTAGAGGTAAAATGAGGCTCTGATGCAAATTAATTTAAGTGCACCTGGAGAGGGTTTTTGGAGTCAGTGCCCCCACAGCCTAGTGGCCCGGCGGCTAAAGCTCCCGCTTCACACATGGAGGGCCCGGGTTCGATTCCCGGAGGGTGGAAACATTTCAACACGTTTCCTTACACCTGTTGTCCTGTTCACCTAGCAGCAAGTAGGTACCTGGGTGTTAGTCGACTGGTGTGGGTTGCATCCTGGGGGACAAGATTGAGGACCCCAATGAAAATAAGTTGCAGTCCTCAATGATGCACTGACTTTCTTGGGTTATCCTGGGTGGCTAACCCTCCGGGGTTAAAAATCTGAACGAAATCTTATCTGAGACACGACCAAGACATGTGAAAACCCATAAGATATTTTACTAGGGAAACATTTTGGTTTTGAGACCTTGCTCATTGTATGTTGGTATTGCTCTATATACCAGGTTGATGCTATTTTCTAAATGTGTTTTTCCAAAATTGAAATGTGTATTTGTAAAAATAACTGACGTGATAAGATTAATGTACGAAATGTACACCTGCTAGATATTTTATCCCATGGTTAGCTTTTTTAGCTAACCTTCCTCTCCTTGTTATGTTACTATTATTATTATACATAGGGGAAGCACTAAACCCATAAGGGTTATACAGTGCCTCAGTTTGATCCATGGAAGGGGAAGATAAGCCCTTGGATCAAGAGCCCCTACCCAGCATCACAAAACCTCCCTGGAAGGGCTAACCATAAATAAATTTCTGGGGTGTTACTGTTGTGAATTACATGGGAAATATGGACCCCATTGATAACAATCATAATATTAATTATTTCTACAAGTATATGTACAGTGTCCCCTCAAGGAAGGTTCCTTGACACTGGTGAGGGGCTCTTGATCTAGGGAATTAGATCTGTGCTTCAGTTCCCTGAGATAAGCGTGATATCTCTTCCCCCCCCCCCCACGGGCTCTGTATAATGCTACAGGTTTAGTGATCCCCTCTTGATAATAATAGTATGTACATGTACAAGGTATACAGACCATAGCTGACATCAGTGACATACTACTATATAGAAAGCCTCTTGTTATGCAGAGCATTTCCCGCAAGTTAGGTCAGTTTTGTCCCAGGATGCGACCCTCACAAGTCCACTAACACCCAGGTACCTACTTAGTGCTAGGTGAACAGGGATGGCAGGTGTCTTAAGGAAACATGTCCTGATATTTCCACCTATACTGGGGATTGAGCCCTGGACCTCAGTGTGTGAGCTGAGAGTGCTACTAGTTGAGCTACTGGACACTGTTTTGTATTGCTTTGCTTCTTTGGATTATCCTTGTATATTAACTGTCTGGTTACTAGTGTGAATAAAGTCCCTTTTTGTATTTTTTGTATTTCAGATCCAGACGATCCATACAAACTGACAGAAGATACAAAAGAGCGGGGCTTAGTTGTGTGTCGTGGGACTGCCGTCGTACTCATCTGCCCAATGGACGGTTGTGAAGCGATTGCAAACCCTTTTGTACAGCAAGAAACCTAACCACATTAACTGTCATAAGTATTTCACATCGTATATAACTTTCATTTAAAGTACATGATCTCATGTTACGAGATGTCGAGAATGATTTTCTACAATTTATATTGAAAGATGGCTAATGTTTGTTTTTATTTATGTAATAGCTATACATTGGTATAACTTGCATAAAAATATACATTAGTATAAAGTATACTACTGACTGAGGTATTTAATGTTCCAGAAATGAGAAAGCCTAGTTTTGTTCCAAATTATCTTCATTAGGAAAAATTATAAAGATGTATCCATAAAGTTAATGTTAAGTTTGATGCAAATTATCAGCCTAATTAAATATTTTGAATTCACATGCTAATGTAAAAAAATTTGTAAAATGGAAATGTGACTATATACTTTAATAAAATATTAAATAATACAAAGGAAATTATGGTTATTACCCAGTTCTTTTACTTACCTTCAAGAGAGGAATGTCTTGATCTTAATGAAGGGCTGTTGGTTCAAGGAACTGAAGCTCCCCTGTCCCTTGGATCAAACTGCTTACCTCCCGTGCCCTATGCTCTTCATTACTCCGTACAGGATTAGCACCTCGTCATGAAAATACAGTAGGACCCCCCCATATCCGCAGGATACGTTCCAAGGACCTGCCGTGGATAGTAGTAAACCCTACATATAATCCCTATGCATACCTATTACAAAGTTTATTTCATAAATTATCCACAATAAGTGGAGAATTATCATTTTTTCACTGATGGGAAGCACTTCACAGCTTCTCTTAGGCTCTGAAGAACTACAACTTCTCTACTTTTGTGCTTAGTGGCCATTATTATGCAAAATTATGAGGTATTTTTGGGTCATAGTAAACCGTGGATAATGAAACCACAGATACTGAATCACTGGATATGGGGATTCTACTTTAATCATATTATACCTTTACTTTGTGTGTTTATGCGCTGTATGAATTCTAGCTTCTGGCAAGACAGTGATCGAATGAATGATGGTGAATGAGGTTAGAAAAAAAAAAATCTGAATCACAGGTCTCGTGCTAAACATGTAGGGTTCAATCAGCGCCCAAGGGAATAAAAGGCAATAGGGTTCGATCCAAGGAAATGAAAAGGTTAAATTTTTTGTGTGGAAAATGCTTCAGTGACATAAGGAACCTGCCATGATGGGTGACCTAGCAGTAGCAACCTTACCTCACACCAGTAAAGTTGGCAGACTGAGTATCTCATACACTCTACAAGAATTATATTGGCTGTATAGTCCTTGTGGCTTAGCGCTTCTTTTTGATTATAATAATAATACAAGAATTATTGAGTATCTTTCTGCAAATGTATAAATATCCAGACAAAAATTAGAAAATATATAGACTAGAATCTTGTAAATTTTACTAGCAAAATGCACAATGTTGATACAGACGGAGATGCAAGATTCTGTTACGTTAGCAGCTACTGTCATGGACACAAACTGTATGTGTGCATTTTGTAACTCCACTGTTAAGCCCAAACAGGTTTACTGCATTTTGGTGAATGTAATAACAACAATAAATAACAAAAAAAGGCACAATACCGTGACTGGAACGATACACAAATAACCCGCAAATAGAAGAGAGAAGCTTACGACGACGTCGTAAGCTTCTCTCTTCTATTTGCGGGTTATTTGTGTAATAACAACAACCCAAACATTGCTTGTACAACACAAGGCTTTGTTAAAAGCTCCATGAATTTTTTATTTATTTTAAGAAAAGTTAGTTTTTCTGTAATATGATGGGAAATCGGGCAATTTGTTATAACAGGCATAAATTGTATAAATATTTTGGATTGTGGTAACAGTATATTACATGTATACCTTCTCATTTTGTTAACCCTTTCAGGGTCCGTGCCGTAGATCTACGACTTTACGTTCAGGGTCCAAACCGTAGATCTACACCATGAGCTCAGCTCACTCTGATAAGCTGTGAGTGGTAAATTTGGGCCTAGATATGAGAGAATACATCTATGTGGTATGTGTGCACCACATAAAATAAATCCTGCAGCACACAGTGTATAATGACAGAAAAAAAACTGAGACAGTGATTTTCGATTAAAACAGCGACTTTGCAGTGTTTTTTCATATGTTTTTTAAAGTTGTATTTGGGATTTCTTGGTCTCATTTGATGGAGTGGAAGACATATTGCAGATTGGTTTTAGCACTGGGAATGGCTTGAAACTGAGCTCAAAGTAGCGGAAATGTTAAATTTTTGCCGATGTTCAAGAGTAAACAAACGACCTCACACGTCTAATACACGCCAGCTGGTGGGTCTAATATACATTCACATATATGGTGATGATATTTATACAATTATTACAATATTGCATAACAGTAAATGTTCTATTTTTTGGTTTGAATAAAAATTCATTATGTGAATAAAAAATCAAAATGGAATTCATTTGTAAAGCCTCAAAACATAACTAATGAACAGAGGAAATGTTAGTTTAGTGCCAGGAATGCCTACTTTGTTTATTCTAGACCCTATTTTGAAATTGGAATATTTTGAACTTTTCGTTAAATTGACCAAATTACCAATTTCCGGTAACTTTATTTTGTAGTTGAAACAGTTGACTTGGTGATTTCTTGTGCTCAATCGATAGAATAGAAGTAATACTAGTGAAATAGCTAAGAATTTGGTCGACTGGAATAATGTAATTTGCCTAAAATGGGAATCAAAGTTGGCAAAATCGCCGATTAGCAAATATCCCTGACACATCAAAATTCGCGAGAGCATAATTTCGTCAATTTTCCATCAAATTTCGTACTTTTTGCTTTATTACCTTCAGAAAAAGATTCTCTACCATTTCATAAGAAAAAATAACAAAATTTTTTTTTGAAAACTCATGGACCCTGGTGCGCACTTCGAAATTTGGCCTCTGGACCCTGAAAGGGTTAATGAAAGTTCTCACATTCTCTGTATTATTTCTTGCCTATCATTATTTTGGAATTTTTTTTTGCCAACTGATACAGCGTAAAAAAATGCATACTTTATAACCCTTATGAGATTAGCATCTCCATACAATAAAAATAAAAGCATTATTTTTTTTTTTTAACAAAATGGCTGTCTCCCACATAGGCAGTGTGACCCAAAAATAAACACTTTCACCATCACTGTTTTGCCAGAGGGGCACTGATACTACAGTTGAAAATTGCAAATCTTCAGAGTGCAGGCACTGTACTTCCTACCTCCAGGATTCGACTCTGGCTAACCAGGTTCTCTGAATCCATAAATGTTACTTTACTTTGCTCACACTCCAACAGCACGTCAATTCATGAAAACCATTGCCTCCACTTGCTCCTACCTAACGTGCTTGCACAGGTTTGCTGAAAGTCCAAGCCCCTCGCACACAAAACGTCCTTTACCTTTTCCATCTAACCTTTCCTAGGACGACCCTATCCCACCTTTCCACCACTACAGATTTATACACCCTCCAAGTCATTTTATTTTGTTCCATCCTCTCTAAATGTCCAAACCACCTCAACAACTCCTCTTTAGTTCTCTGAATAATACTTTTAGTAATACTGCACTTCCTAATCTCCAGTCTATAGATTTTCTGCATAATATTCACACCACCCATTGTCCACGGACATATATCTACTGCCTTCTTGTTGCAACATTCACAACCCATGCTTCACGCCCATACATTCACTCACGTACAGTCCTCTCTGCTTCCATGGATAACGCTCTGTCTCCACAGACTCCTCAATGCACCACTTGCCTTTTTTCCCTCATTAATTCTATGATTCATATACCCATCTACTGACAAGTCCATGCCCAAATATCTGAACACATTCACTTCCTACCTCCAATCTGATAACAGCCATCAGGCCCCACGGCCTGGTGGCTAAAGCTTCACTTCACACGGCAAGGGTCCAGGTTCGATTCCTGGCGAGGGTAGAAACATTGGGCGTTTACACCGGTTGTCTATGTTACCCATCAGTAAAATGGGTACCTGGGTGTTAGTCGACTGGTGTGGGTCGCATCCTGGGGCAAAACTGACCTAATTTGTGGGAAATGCTCTGCGTAACAAGCGGCTGTCTATGTAGTAGTATGTCATTGATGTCAGCTATGGTCTGTATACCTTGTACATGTACTGGTAGAAATAAACATCTTATTATGTTATTATTATTATTAATATTATCCTTACCACCTTGCTAGGCGGGTCACCATATGGAGAAGACCCGGGCCGGAAGTACCGGCGAACCTCTAATGAATGAATGAATGACCACCTTGCTCTTTACAATGTTCACTTTTAATTTCCTTCTTTTACATACTCTCCCAAATTCATCCATTACCATCTCCAACTTCTCTTCAGAATCTCCCAAAAGCACAGTGTCATCAACAAAAAGCAGCTGTGACAACTCCCACTTTGTGTTACATTCTTTATTTTCCAATCCCACACCTCTACCCAACACCTGAGCATTCACTTCTCTTACATCCCTATCTAAGGCCTACCTTTACTGGAAAATAATCTCTCTCCTACATACCCTAACCTGAGCCTCACTATCCTTGTAAAAACTTGTAACTGCTTTCAGTAACTTACACCTGTTCTATACACTTGCAACATCTGCCACATTGCCCCCCTATCCACCCTATCATACGCCTTTTCCAAATCCATAAATGCGCTGGAAACCTCTTTACCCTTAAATAAATACTGTTCACTTATATGTTTCACTGTAAACACTTGGTCTACACTCCCCCTACCCTTCCTAACGCCTCCTTGTTCATCTGCTATCCTGCTCTCTGTCATATCCTTAATTCTGAACAACTCAACCATACACCTTACCAGGTATACTCAGTAGGCTTATTTCCCCTATAATTCTTACACTCTCTTTTGTCCCCTTTGTTTTTATACAAGAAACTATTCACGCTCTTTGCCATCTCTAGGTGCCTTTCCCTCTTTCATCCTATGGGTTTAGCTCTCTCCCATGATTATAATATTAATAATTTCTCTCTTTTATACACTTATTAAATGTAAGTGCCATCCATTCCAAAACTATATAGCCACCAGGCCCGGTGGCCTGGTGGCTAAAGCTCCCGCTTCACACACAGAGGGCCCGGGTTCGATTCCCAGCAGGTGGAAGCATTCCAACACATTTCCTTGCACCTGTCCTGTTCACCTAGCAGCAAATAGGTACCTGGGTGTTAGTCGACTGGTGTGGGTCGCATCCTGGGGGACAAGATTGAGGACCCCAATGAAAATATGTTAGACAGTCCTCAATGACGCACTGACTTTCTTGGGTTATCCTGGGTGGCTAACCCTCCGGGGTTAAAAATCCGAACGAAATCTTATCTTACCTGCTTTACCCCCTTTCATTTTACTCACTGCCTCACTCACCTTCCCCACACTCATATCTAGCTTTTCTTCATCACTCCTAAAAGATGTTTTACCTTCCTCACCAATGCAT